GCTGTGCAAAAGCACGTGGTGGTGGGAAGCATATATCTGGGCAGCTGCATAGCTATGGTAGCTTGCAGCTGGCTGCCGTGGGGTGAGAGATCTTAATGATCCTGACCAGCCTCACCTGGGTCTCCCTGCCCATAGCCTGGGGGCCCTATTTAAGATCAGGTCTGGGCCCTCAGCCTTTCCCTGAGCTGGGTTGTAGGTGTGCCTGCCTAGTCTTGTCTCTTGGCTGGACCTTGGACCTATGTTGTAGGTAGCTTGTCTCTGGAGGGACCCTCTGTGTATATGTCTGTAGCTTGTCTCCAGTCCTGTTTCCGGCCTTGTTTCCTGGGTGGAATTGGGACCCATGTTGTAGCCTTGTCTCTGGTTTTGTCTCTCCGACCTTGTTTCCTTTGGCTCTTGACTGTGCTCTGCGGATGGGCCCTGGATCTGGTTTGTGGCTTGCCTTCCCTGCTGATACAGCCTGTTCCCAGCACCTGCTTCTGCCTTTCACGTTCCCACCTGGTGGGACTGTGCCTGTTGGTGAGGACACTGCTGTGCTGGGGTCACTCTCAGCTTGCTTGCCTGAGGAAGGAGCTGGCCCTTGCTGCTCCCTGGCACCTTCTCCCTGTGGTTCAGCTGGCTCGTGACTGTTTCAGATGCCTGTGCTCCCGGCCTGTTCCTCACCCCCAGTGTTGCTGGGGAATGAATGTCTCTCCTTGCAGTCTGGCTACCTTCCTTCTGGAAGGGTGGATTTGCCATTAGGGTTGTCTGCTTTGTCCTGGGGTGCCTGGTGTGAATGGGGCATCTTACATGGTTCCTGACTATTCTTTCAGCTTGTGTCAGCTGGAAGCATTTCTCCTGTTGTTCCTTGGGAGTTTTAACTCTGTGTAGTGGCTTAAGACTGACAAAGACAAGCCATAGGGGGACCATTGGTAAATTTAAGCTTGGGACGACACGTTCTTGGCTGTGCCTCCACTGGCTGGTGCTTGTCCTTGCTGGAGTTGGCCTGTGTACAAGTCTCCCTGGCACCGGGCTGCCTGTGTTGCTTTAGGAGTCTGCAGGCGAGTTCAGTTCAGCAGCAGCTATTGAACTCCAAGAATCTCTTTTCCAGCATAGAAATGGCCCTTCTCTGGGCTTTTGGTTTGAGGGTGAAGAGCAAAGGCATTGATCTTGCATACCCACTATATCCCAAAGGTGCATTTCAAGCAGTTTTACCTAGCTTTTCAGTAAGTGGTCCAGAAAGAGCCCGGATCTAGAGCTGGCTGCCAACAGATATGTATTGTGAGCACATGTCAACCTGAGCTGTGGCCCCAGGGTCCTGGGCAGCCCTGCCCTAGAAGGAGCTGGCAGCCCTGCAGTGAGGGTAGGTGCTCAGCACTTGCATGAAAAGCATTAATGAGCAGAGCTTTTTGCTGGCAGTGCTGTCACAGCAAGCTGCAGCCTTCAGAGAGGACTGAGGGAAGCCTGGGGGTGAGGAAAGGCAGCAGCATGAGTGCCTGCGGGGATGAGCCCAATGGGACTGAGGAAAGCTCAGGGCTCCAGAAAGGTGGTGAACCTGATCCCAATAGCTGGTGGCACAAGCCCTGCTGCCAAGTATTGCTTCCACAGTAATCTGTGTTCTTTAAAGGCAGCGTGTCCATTCCTGGAGGTTAATGGGAAGAAAAGAAACCTGCTCTGAAATTTGTAGTAAGTCTGTGATGTTCCTGTAACAACCAAAAATGAGCAGCTCAAGGATGTGGAGTGACCCTTAGTTAATCTCAGGGAGACCTTGCAGGTGAAAGCTTCAGTGATGAGGCTGCTTGAACTCTAAATCTGCTGTGAGAAACAAGCTCACTGTGCACCAGCGGCTGCCACAAGATGAAAGGGAGCTGTGCCACGAGCCATGGCTGCTGCAGTGAGATGCTCTTCAAAGTGCCTTTAATAGATCAATCCCATCTGATGCTTCGCTGCGTTGTGCAGTGTGGCTTTCTGCCGCAGGCGTTTCTGAGGCCCCACCAGCTTGTTCCAGCAGTGCAGACACTTACCGGATGAGGCTGAAATAAGTAGAGAAAGCTGCTCCTGGAAGACGAAGGGAAGAGAAAGATCTGCATGTGGAAGAGAGCTGCAGCCCAAAGTTATTACAGCAGGAAAATGGCATCTGCTTTCCACCTTCCCTGGTTGTGTGTGAGGCCTCACATCTGCAAGGCACATCATTTGACTAAATATTTCTTTTCTTGGTGTATGGGGAAAGTTGGGGAGAGAGGGAGAGTGGCCGCTACAGTGGCTGGGCTGCCCTGGATGTAACTCTGCAGGCAACTGTCCTTGTGTGCCTTGGTTACCTCTGGAGGTCTAGTGTCCCTCTCTGAGCTGTCTGTGCTGTAGCAGGGCTGGCAGCTGGCACACTTAGCTCACTATGCCTGTGCATGTGTGCAAACACTCTGCCATAGGACAGGTTAGGGGAAGACGACTGAATCCTTCCCATTATGTAACCGTGTTCAGTGCAATGCAGGCTCTTATCCCTGTGATGAGGAGGTGACAGCTCCAGGTAACTCCTCTGCTGAGCTGGGGTTGCTCATGGCCTGGGCAGTATGGTGGGTCGCCCTGGCCTGCTGCCCTTCCTTAGCCAGCACATGCAATGTGTGGTGCCGTGCCATGGGCAGTGGTTGTCTTGGCTGCTCCGGAGTGTGCTTCCTGCCTTTCTGCTGTCTGGGTCCTAATGGATCTCATGAATTTCATTCCTAATTCTGTTTTTCTTTTCATGCCACATTCTTCTCACAGTGCGAATGAGATGTTCCAGATGTAAACGCCAGCTCTGTATTTAAACCTGCTGGTGCAGACCTGACATTATGATCATTCTCCAGTTACCTCCTGTTGCCAGGCTAGGGGGAGAGACTTTACTACTGCTACTTTATTTAGAAAAGCACCAAGCATACATTTAACTTTAACCCTACATTTTTCAGCAGCAGGGACGTGATTTTAACTTTCAGCACGTGCTCAAGTCATCTATTAAGGACAACCCTGTCCAGAAAAGAACTTCCATTCAGCCATGACCCTTATAGTAGTGAGTCTTCAACTTCAGCTTGTGTAGGAAGGCAATTTAGGATCCATCTAATTCATGGTTATCTTCCTGTAATTACCAGTAAAGCTCATCAGTGATGTGGACTGCAGCCCTCTCAGGCAGAGCATGCAGGACTTGACACATCTGTTCATGTTAGCAGCGGGGAAATCACCCCCCAAAAATTGGGACTTGAGAAGGGGTAAACATCCATGATCTTTTTTCCTCCATCAGTTGTGTTTGATCCCAGATTAATTCCCTGTTCTGTGTACACATCCTGCTTTCAACACTGATAAGCTCTGGTTCAGCACTGAGCTTGTAGAGTTTGACCATCGAAGTCTCTGAGGACTTGGCCCTATGTCCCCTCTGGCTTGTTACCATCTTTCTGAGATGTTCTTGGTTCGGAAAGCTGTTGCACGCTCATGTTGCTGAGCTGAGAGTTGCCTGGGAACATGTTGAGGCTGTAACCACACAGGGAGCTGGGGAAATATCAGATTAAACCCCATTCATCACAAATGGCAGAGACTCTGCTAAAGAACCCTGTTCCCTCCCCTCCTTCTCCTGTGCGGGGCTGTTTTCCTTTGCAGTCTTCCAGGGAGACTGCAGCAGGACTGCTACGTTAGTGTCTGCGCTGGATCAAAGCAGCTTTCTGCTCAATTGACTTGTTATTTAGCAGAGCAGCAGATCTGTGTCTTGTGTATATATCCTGTCAGGCTGCAGCTTGCCTGAGGCTCTTTGTCTACCGTGGGATAAATCTCGCACCTCATCTACAGGGGGAATTAGAGTGACTACAGAGGCTGGATGTCTCCCAAGTGATGGCAGATGCTAATGCAGATGGTACTGGCATGATTCCCGTTGATAAGTCATTGAGTAGGATTGTCCGGGCCCTCCTGCTTATGGGGTCGGGGCCTGCAGTGATCCAGGCAGTTCCTGCCAGGCTGGGCCCGCTGGGCGCTCTCTTGGTTCCCTCTTCTGCCCCTTGCAGGGAGCAGGGTTATTGCTGCACTGACTAGCAACGTAAAGGGATGACAAGAACTGAGGGATGTGATTGTAGTCATCTCTCATAGCATAGAAATAGTGTGTCTGGTAGAGCCAGATATCTGCTTGCTTTTTTTTTTTTTAAACTAATAGAGGTGAACAAGAAACCTTCTGTTTTTAAACAAAAGAACAAAAGTTTCCATTCAGGCATTTGTTTAGTTAAGTGATTCTTTAAAGAATGAACTCAGTTCTAAGGGAGCTGAAAGCTACTGAAGAGATTGAAGTTGTGGTGCTGCCTGCTGGCCCAGACGCAGGGTGAACCCAGACCCAGTTTGAACCATTCTGCATCTGCACAGCATGGTGCTGAAAGTGAGTCTTTCACCTGCAGGGAAAGGGGTATTTCATGAGGTATGCCTCCTTGTGGAGCTCTTCTACCTTGTAATAGCAATAAACCCTTCTCTGGGTACTTCTCTAAGAATACCTCTGCAGTTTGGCTAGGACATCCACAGTACTGAGGGACATGTTAATTTCATCCCTCTCCTTGCTGCAATTCTTCATTGAAAGTAGGCAAATTTCAACGAAGAACTGGGACCAAGCTTAAGCTGGATTTTCTGTACCCAGCTGAGCTGGGACTCGTGTTGTGGGACACCTGTGTCCCAGGCTCTGCTTTATGTTCATGAGCATCCCAACTGTAAGGTCATAAAGGTACCTCTTCTGGGGTGGGAATGATATTTAGTGTGTTTAGGAGGCAAGCCTCAAAATGATTGTTCTAGTTCAGAAATATCACTTGGTTGCTTCTGAGGCTATTTGTATATTTGCTTTGGCGTAAGCTATTTGTTGAATTTATGAATTATTTTAGCTCCTCCAGCTTGCCTTCTCTTCTTGTTGGCTTGTTTCTCTTTCTGTTGGACTTTAGCTGTTGTCTGTCTAATAGGAAGACAAGGAAGAGAAGAAAGCCCCATAGTGAAGGAAGCTCAGATATTGAGTGTGTCTTTTCTCTTCCTCAATGCAGATGAAGTGAACTTGCTGGACAAAGTGACTTCACATGCGCAGGACCTCAGCAATGTTTCATTTGGCTACAATGAAGCCAACTGCAGCATCTTGGAGATCGGGCAGTACTCTACCCTCAACATCCCTACGAGGGAGGCATTTGGGGACAGGTGAGCTGACTCCCAGAGATGGGATGGAGAGGTTCAAAATCATATCAGTCATGCTTGTTGGCTGGAGGGTTTACTTTAATGTCCCATTCCATAATAGCATGAAGATAATGCATCTACTCTTTTCTCCTCATAGCTCACTGCTTCTTCCATTTCTTCCATCTCTGTTGGTCATGTGCAGGGGGGCACACATCAGTACAGTACTTGACTTATCATTTTTAGGAATATTTTCTTGTTGTTCCCATCCAGGGAGGGTTTTCTAGCCCAACACAGAATGGGAGACAGCAATAGGGTGTACAAGTTTACCCATCAGTATTGCTTCATGTCAAGGCGCTAGTCTGCAGAGGAATAGGCCAGGTCAAACTGTTCATCTACTGCTCTTGATATAAAAGAGGTTTGAACGTGGGTCTCCTCATCCAAAGCAAGTGCCTTGTTTGCCAGGATACGCCCCAGAAGACCAGCCAGTCTCTCAGCCTCTCCTGTTGGAGGTATTCCAGGATATAAACAATCTCTGTGAAATCAGCTCCAGGGAGGCTTCAATTTAGCATATTAAAATCCGGACTAGTGGCTCTGTGATACAGTTCCCCACCTACAAAGTAAAGATAACCATGCCATGTCCCCCACCGGGATATGAAGGTATAAAATATTTGTATTTGTGGATCACTGTTGTGAAGGGCTATTAAGAAAATGCCACAAAGAGACATATTAACTGCAACAGCAGGGCAGGGCTGGACTTGCATGCCGTGGACGAGGTTTGGGGTATACGCTGACACTAGTAAGAGAAGGAAGGATAGGGTAGCTACTTTTTAAGGGGTCACCATCCAGTCTCGGCAATGAACAGGTATGAGCCTCATGGGAATTCACGTGTAGCTACATAATCATATGCTGTGATTGTGCATGAGGGAGAAGCATTAAGGTTATTGGGGCAATGCAAATTCTGCTGTTGCTACTCCTTTCTGAGTACCTGACCTTACAATACGAATGACTATGTTTGCTCTTGGTTTTTTTATTCTTGGTTCTCTGAATTCATTTGCACTGTGACTTGGTTTTCTGTATGTAAGATGGCTGTTTGGGGTGACTCACTAGGTGCTGCAGGATGCCATATGTTATTTCTCTCTGCTAGGTTTGCAGATGAGCTGAGTGTATTGATGAAGCTCAGGTACTCCCTGAAGGAGGACACCAGCCTAGTAACTATCCTTAGCCATCGGAGCCATGTGCTCTTCCAGATAAGGATTAACCCACATGCCTTGATCTTTGTCACCACGAGGAGGAGACACTATGAGTAAGTTCCAGCTTAGATGCTGTTTTGTGCCTTTTCATGCTTCTCCCTTTCCTTTTCTACTCCCAAGCCTGGAATTAAGGTTTCTCAAAGCAGGCACTTGGAGCTTTGTTAAGGAGAGCTGTTCTGACCCCAGCTGAGCTGAATCAATCTTGTCCCCCTATCTAGGTGACAGTCCCTCAGACCTGCTAGTGACTGCATGTGTGGTCATCCCCTACCTCAACTTTGTCAAAATAATGCAGATATAGGAAACAGATAACAACAAAAATGTTCAGATAGCCAGTCAGTCGTGATTTGGCTGGCTTCGGTAGGTGACGAGACAACGGCACAATTATTTGCAGATTAGCTTGCAGATGTTGCAGTGACATTGAGGGTGGGTGGAGGGAAACATCAACCCACGTTGACACAACCAATGAGACGAGGGTAGCCCTCCTCTCAGCTGGACCTGAGATGCCATGCTGATGGGCGCATCTACCTGTTTGATTTGGTGCCCCATGGCCAGATATTTCTGTCCCTTCTGGATCCTCCCTGCTTGGCTAGGGCCAGACCAGGGTGGCATTTCTGACTATCTGGTAGCACTGACATGCGCAGTGGTGAAAGCCCTGAGTCAGCATGGCTGTCTTCCTTCAACCCCTGCTATCCCCTACCAGCCCAGCATATACACTCCCAGGTACTCAGGGACTCTCGACAGCAAGCAGCATGAGAAGCGCTGGGGCTGATATGCTAGAGAGGAGGTCCTATATCATTGCTTTGGTAGCCTACAACTTGCCCTGCGAAAACTTGGGAATGAATCGAATGGGGAGAGCCACAAATAGCAGTAATTCACCTGACACCTTGGCTGGCTGTAGAGGTGCCCAGATCCGTTGGATAGGAATAGTATTCCCATGCAAGAGGAATGAGGGCACTTATTTGTGGCACTAAGGTAGATTTAATTGCTTTTGCACTGTCCTTAACATCTACACTGAGGATGGATACATGACCTCAAGCCATGAAGAACTTTGGGGAGCTTGTGAAGATGAAAAAAGCTAGTACTGCATAAGGTTTTGGACCTCTGAATCTCATTTTGGCTCTTTCCTTCTCCCTCTGGGGAACACAGGTTCCCAGTTTCCCTTCTCGGTGATGGGGCCTGGCACCAAGTTGCTCTCAGCATCTCTTTGGAGAGGCTGGAGTTGCACGTAGACTGTCGGCTGGTGGAGAGAGTGAGCTGGTCCAATTACTTTGGGATGGGAGTCACCACTGAGGGACTGATCATCATCGGCGGCCTGATCGAATCCTTTGAGATTCCTTTTGAGGTAAGAGCCTGGGCAGACCTTGCAGGGCTGTGTTTGAGGACATTTTCTGCTTTAGTTGGGTGAAGTGGGGTTGCAACCCTGTCTGAAGGAACCTGTTTTCCTCCCTTGCTAAAACACACCATGTATTTTCATGGTGTGGAGGATGAGCTGGGTAGAGACTTTGAAGGATGCAAAGCGTTTGCTTCTGGATCAGGGAAACACAAGTGTCAGTGGTAAAGAGAGACCCCTGAGAAATGGCCCTCTGATACTGCTCCCTGAGAGATGACTGCGGATGTCCAGCCAGCCTCCTGGCACGTTTGTAGCAGGGGACTTCTCAAAGGAGATTTACACAGAGGTTCAGTCAGTTTGCATTAGCTGCCTACTGATTTCTCCTAAGGGCATTCTGAGCACTGGGAAGCACAAAATAACAGCCCCACAGATGGCTGGGGCAAGATTCATGGGGGGGGACACTGTGATGGAGCAGCATCATCTCCACCAGGCTGATGTGCTCAGTGGTCTGGAGATGCGGGAGGAGGGGATCGCTGTCCCTCATGTGTCATGGTGCTCTGAGGCTCAGACTGTGCTGCCAGTTTGGGCAGACATAGGCTGGCTCTGAGCTGACTGAGGGTGCTGTAGTCCCTGTCCACAGCCTCTCACGCTCCCCTCTGTGACTGTGAGTTATGCTGTGCAGTGAAGTCATCTGTGCAGTTGGCGTACAAGGGATTTGATTAAGGAGCTTGTCTCTGAGATGTCTCTGATATCCCTTAGTGCCTGTGGGATCCCTTCTGTGAGATGTGAATCCCCTCTCCATTTCTGCAGGGTGGCTCTCTTCTCCCTCTTTTATAGCAAGCTGCCCAGCCAGACCCTCAGCCTGGGGAGGAAGATTTCAGATTTTCATTTAGATCCCACAATGAAGAGATCAGCTGGCAGCTCTGGCATGTTCCTCTTGGCACTTGCTGCTGCTGGCAGACAGCAGAGAAGCATCAGGTGGATGGAGCAGGCTCAGACATTTCCTCTGCACAATCATGTCATATGCAGAAAAGCTGCTCGTGCATCAGTGGTGCCACATTGATAACAAATTACTTCACAGCTGCCCTGAGCTTATCTAAGGAAAAGCCTAGTAAGGCACATGGGGAAAAATGCTTTCTGTATCTTTTCCTCCCCAGGGTGCTCTGCAGCAACTGATCTTCGTGATGGGAGACCCAGCAGCCGCCAGTGAACACTGCCGCAGCTACAACGCCACCTGCACCAGCTCCCTCAATCTGGAGACTGACTCCAGACCTTCAGGCTCCCTGTGGGAGCGTTCACCAGCTTGGTCAAAGGTGTGGCTGAGGATAGCTGACGAATGTCAGGGGTCCTGGACCAAGTTCTTGTGTGGTGTAACCTGATTCAAATGGAAGGAACGACCCAGTGGGTTAATGCAACCTAGAAGGGCCTGGGTTTCTGTTTGAGCTGAGATGCAGCAAGGTTATGATGGGGATGGTGGCCAGCACGCAGGGTGGTTCTCCTCTCGCCATTCAAGCCCTCCCTTAGTCGTAGACAGCTTTGGTGCAAAGGGAAGATGAGATAGAGGGAAGTTTCTGAGCCAAAGAAAGCCTGGGTGTGTATATGACTGCCTGTGTGCATGTGTTTAAAACAAGGAAGTTTTGAGTAGCTATTGAGTAATGCTGCAGCTGGAGCTTCGGTTTCTGGGAGTGGGGTGAAAACTGTACTCGGGAACTGTGTTCCACTTTAAAATTCATGCTCGCCCCCAGCAAGATCTCTTTTCATTGCACTGTTTGGTGCATGCTCCTTTCAGAAGTTGTCTCCTCTAAGTTGTCAGCATAGCTGAAAAATGGAAGCTTTGTGGATTTTGTTTACAGTATTCAATATTTTTTCAAGAAATGCTCCCATCTAAAGAAGCTTAGATCAATTGTAGTAAACCTCTGAGCGTGTGAACCACCTCAGCTTTCCTCAGGAGTCAGGAGTTTGGCCAGGGAGACCCCTCATCTCTCTAGGCCAAGCCCTGAAGTCAGCCAGGATGGATTTTCAGTAACAAGTGTGCTAACTTTTTAGGGTGAGGTGGGGAGGCTGAAGTCACAGTTGTCTCATTATAGGCTGGAAAGGCTGTTGTAGCTGTTTGGAAAAGGCTTACTTCTGGGGGAAGAGGCGAGTTCCAAACATCAGTGTTTGGCACAAACCTCCTGTGTGTAATGCCCCTCGAGTGGTCTAGTGAGGAGCTGGGAGGGCTGGTGGCAAGGGGCAGCATGAAGGAAGGGAGCTGGGTGTGGGATAGAGCATCTGCCCTCTCTTGATCCTGCTTGCTGATTCCTTTCCCTGGGTTTCTTGGTGTGAACAAGCCCAGGCAGCCAAGATGGAATAGCGATGCTCTGCTCGTGCTGTTTTCCCGCTGCATCTCCTCCTTACCTCTGGTCCTGGAACAGACCTGCAGTGTAATTGCTTAATTCCCTGGGATGTGCTGCATCAGTTTCCATGTTTGTTATTTTAAGAGGAAGGTTTTAGGAAAAGCCCATATCATAAGGGATTAACTAGAAGTTGGCTTTGCCGGAGTGCAAATGCAGAGAAGGCCAAATACGTCATACAGAGCAGAGAAGAAGAGGCCACGCTGGTTATTTGCCTGCTTTAAGTAAGATCAGTATGTTTGAATTCCCAGCATATGTAACCCACAGTCATCATCAAAATGATACCTGGCATTTCTCATGCTGACAGCCCTTAGTTACTGGCGATAGGTCCATGAGGAAAGTCAGGCTTGCTCCTTAGGCTAAGAAATAGGGCAAGTCTCTATGATTTAACAAGCTACACGGTATGTACTGTGAGCTGCAAGGTGATGGATTCCTCTTAATGTGCTCTTAGTATCTGTATTATTTTGTGCTATATGGGCCTAGAGCACTCATCTGAGCGCTCCAGTGATTTAGCCAACACAGAGAAGGTTTTATTTTAAGCTTCGGTAAGCTGACTGCAAGTAGGAACCCACAGGATAATTCTGCCTGACATCACACCGCTTCCCATCCATTGCTGGCCCTCCATAGAGCTGATAAACTTCAAAAACAAAAGAAACTGCAAAACCCACCCGAAGACTCAAGAGGTTTAATCGAAAGCTGTTCCCTAATGTGGCTATGAGTGGCTGGTTCCCAGTGTGCATTCCCTGGATGTTTCCAGTGCAGCTGGAGGCAGCGTGTTAAATGCCAGAGCCAACAATAACGACATGCTTAAGTCTGTTCGGTTCCTTGGGCAGTGATATTCTTCCTCTTTCTCTCCAACCGTGTAGGTGCCAAAAGAAACCAATGAAATCCAGGACTCGTCCGCTCAGGTATGACTCTCCTGCATGGCATGTGGGAGGTATGTGCAGGGGATGCCCTCTCCACATTTCCTTCTGATGTTTCTCACCATCATAATGTCTTCTGGGGAAACCAGTCAGTATGATGAGTAATCATGGTAAAAAGCCAAAATCCTCAGGCAAGGCCACAAGCTACAACTTTCTTTGTAATTTCTCTCTTAAATGGCTTAAATGTAACTTGCCATGTCTCAGAGCTAAGGTGTGCTTAGGTGAGCTTCCCGAATGCTTGCTTTGAGCCCAGGAGGGTGGCTTGATGAAGGCATTGGTGAGAAAATCATGGCTGTATGGCTAGAATTCTACCTGTTGCTTTGTCCCTCGTTTGGGATGTTAACATCTCTGCGGGGAAGACTTGCTGCTTGCTATAGTTGAGGAGCTGCAAGGGCTGAGGTCTCTGTGGCAGGAAGAGGCCAATCTGGGGGTTACAGGCTGTGGTGGTTCTTTGGCACTGCTCTCCAGGAGAAGGTGGACTAAGATGTGAGCTGCTACTGCCGGGTGCTGCGGCAGGGGCCGGCACCCTGCATGGAGCTGCAGGTTGCTTCCTCGGCGCCACTGCCCCATGGGGGTGTTCCTGCATGGGAGGTGCTAGGGAGCGTTGTTCTTGCTCGTCTTCCTGCATTAGGGTCCATCAGCAGTCTCTGTGAGCAAAGCAGGTTACAAGGCCTTTATGTTTCTGGTTTGGGTGCGATTTCTAGCCAAGGTTCATTGTTGGAGTTCATGCAAACAGATATCCTGGTGTGGAAACCTGCCAGCGGATGTAAATTGAGCTTTTCTTGCATGACTGAGCAATACGGAGTCCTGCCCATATTCTCTTCACTCTCCCAGGCTTTGCTGTTAACTGTTTGTCATACCTGGCATAAACTATCTGCACCATACTAGCTGCATAACACAAACTAAGCTTCATGTATGACCAGGGGGCCTTTTTACAGTTGGTTTGTGCTCTGTGTGCAAGGGATTTACTCAGGACACTAGTACGGTAGCAGCAGGCAGGCTTGGAGGGGAACATGCAATTGTACTCTGCTGCTGTTTTGCTGCTGATGGTACTTACAGGTGAGTTTTATACTGATGATAATGACCTCTGAGTACTGAGGAAATAGCAAAATTGATTTTCTCCTGCATGTCTGAAACGTGGTTCCCTACCTCGCTAGAATTAATTCTCAAGTACTGATCAGTGTGTGTTGCTCTGATTAGTGCTGTTTCAGTTGTCAGAATCATGATGCTGTTTTGGACGCTTTCTCCTATCCAATTCCAACTGTCATCTTGCTCATTCACCAGCCAAGTTTGCAGGCAGCAGCTCTCCGAGTGACTAGTGCGAAGTGGTGAGATGGTGCCATAGAAAGAAAGCTGGTGAAATTCATAGGTCTACAGGGGAAGGCTAATGATATTCTGGATTTGAGACAAGTTTGTTTTTTTTCAAGCATTTAATCAGGACCAGAGATGCCTCAGGATCTTTAACATTAAAAGCTCATTTGGATTTATTACAAGAAAAAAAGAGCTACTAACATGTTACAGTTTAAAAATAATAGAGTGCAGATCAGGTCTGCTGCAGAAACTATCCAAGCTACAGTTTGTAGTTGTGTTTTTGGTTTTTTGTTCATTTAGAAGTAGATTAGCTTATTAGTGTATTCTCCATTGCTAATAAGGGCTAATTAATTGTAGAGGGGGGCTAGGTGATGATGGAGGAAGATATAAGAAAATGAAGGTAATAGATCAGTTTTGTTACTGGCAACCTAAATTAGACCTAAGTTACAGTATATCTTTTTTGTAAGTTTTTTTAAGGGGTAGATTGTAATTGATCAGTAATCTTCGAAAGATGGATAGTGTTGACCCATTTCTCTTACTTTTCATCTTCCCTTTGTCTCCTGCAGTAGCTGGGCCTATGCTGTCTCTGCTGGATGACTGGGTTGATTGCCAGGCTGAATGGCTCTTTCCAAAGCAACTGAATTTGGGGTCCTAAAGCCAAAAGTTAAATGCAGCCAAAATCCCACTGATTTCTGGCTTCAGAGCTGAAATTGTACCAGTTTAACTACGTTGAGAGTTCAAGCTAGTTCCTAGATCTTTTCTTGGTTTTTAAAATGTCATGAAAGCTCTGTGAAAATGCTCTTTGTTCATGAAATGTCTCTTCTTTCATGCTCGGGTTTTGCTACTGAATTTACGGTGTTGAAGTCAGGGTCAGTCTCAAAACTGCCGGTATTTTCTTAAACAGTAATTGCTCAATAGTAGTCAGAAGATGTGGTCATTGTGTGTGTGCAAATATGATATCACTTCAGCAGCCTGGACTGTTTGTTCTCCCTTTTAGAAGTTATCTTTGCACCTAGTAACTGAAAAACCAAGGCAGATCTCTTAGCATTTGGACTCTCTGCAAGGTTTTTAAATTGGCCTCCACTGTTTGAGGTGTTTATTTTGCAGCATTGCATCTTTCCAGTTTAGAGGGTGGGCTGTTGCATGGGGGTAGGGTCAAGAGGATGCCTGAACGGAGGCAGCGTTGTCTGCCCTCCCAGCTGAAACCTTCTGCAGCCCAAAAAGGAAACTGTAGAGTGATGTTGGTATCGTTTTTTCTAGTTTTATAACATGTGCAAGCAACCAGGGAGCTTTTTGCCAAAAGTAAGTAATTTTTCAGAAACTTTTTTCATGCAGAAAACTTTTTCAGAAAATTTTTCTGAAATTTTTCCAGGAAGCAGAAAGCCAAATAAACCAGAACAGTGCACTGGACAAATGTTTATGTCTGCTCCTGATTTGGCAAATGCTTATGCTGGTGGAGGAGATGCTCGTGTGTGGCATAATTCATGAGCATGTACCCTCATGCTGGGTCAGGCAATACTTTGTAGCAGCGGTAGAAACAAACTGAATGAGCTTATCCTTTTCTATGACCTGGATGGCAAAAAAAGGACTTTCTGTGAGGTTTTTATTTGCTACCAAGTCTGAATTTTAACTAAAAATTCTCATGTTGAGGTTTTAAGTCTTCTATGCTGAATATCAGATATTATTTAACACAATTTTGTTGGCTTGTTTTTGATCTCATCAAGAAACATTCCAGTGAAATAAAGCATATCAAAATTTGGTGCTCTTGATGATTGGACATAATTCATATATAGAGAAGAGAAGAAAAAAAGCTTGTTATGGCAAAGAGGATGTTCAATTACACTAGGAAGCTCCATCATAAAGATAGCTTCAGAGCAGTTAATGGAGATTTAGTTGCTCATTTCTTGTTAGCACCTTTTTGATTACTTAAAGTCAAGGTGCTAACAGAGCATCCAATCTCATCCCTTCCCTTAAAATCAGAACACTCTGAAGCCTGCTTAAATCAGGAGGCGTACGTACTCCTGGATCTTGATTTTTTTTCAAATATTTTTAGCAAACTGCTAGTGCTCAGCCCATCCTGCTTAATAAAGACAAATCCTTGTGGAATAAATACCAATCTTCTGCCCCACTGGTTCCTGTAGCCTTGCAGACGATTGCCTCCCTGGATAATCTGCTCTAATAGCAGCATACTGCCATAGGTTTGTAGCCAAGGGCAACCAGGGAAGTCTAACAGTGTAAGCACTACTACTCTCAGCAGTTTTCTTGAGTTGGTACAAGCGGGGCTGAGTTGTTCTCTTGTTATGACTCCCATAATCAGCATCTGAAAACCTCTGAAGCAGTTGTTCAGGTAGAAGATAAGGTATCTGTGAATGATTTACTGTGTGATAAACTCAGTAAGAGGTGCATGTTAATCTGAATAGGACTGCAATCTAGGCATGGTTTTGAACTTTTTCCTGCATTTCGATAAAAGGCTATTCCATCCGACTGTGCCATGAGGCATCATCTAGTCAGAATTACAGCTAGGCTTAAACCTTTTATGATCCAACCTTCTGTAGGCTTTCGGTTCTTGTGCCGTTACTGACTTTTGTGGGTTGCCATATGCTTAGGGGTATTCCAGTGTGGGCTTGGTTTGAACGATGACTTCTCTGTTGCTGCTTGATCTCCTTTATGGGGCATTACACTTCCCACCACTTTATCGTGTCCTTCTGGAGGTTTACGGCCATGTGCTTGGAGCAAAGCACTTCACTAGTGTGCGATGCCAGCATGGCTGCTGCTTGCCAGTGGGTCTCTTATAAATGATTTTGCTCCACCTTCCCCTTGAAGGTTGTCAGGGGAGAGGTATGTGTGATTTGAGACTGGTGTGTGGCAGGAAGCGCAGGGAGTCTTTCAGAGTCTTTCCGGTCCGAATTTGACCCTTTCATCCTGAGCTTGTAGGGGTGTGCAGGCTTTTGGGTTGCCCAAAGAAACTGTGGAGCCTCCGTTCTTGGAGATACTCAAAAGCTGTCTGGAGAGGGTCCTGGACAATGTGCTCTAGGTGACTGTGCTTGAGCAGGGGAGGGTGGACTAGCTGATCTGCAGAGGTCCCTTCCAATTTCAAATGTTCTGTAATTCTGTGATTCAGTTTCTGAATGTCCAGATGAGGTTCTGGGGAGCCCCAAATATCCCCCCTCTGGAAATGGGGCACTTCTGAGGCATCCCACACTCTTCACCAGGAAGAAATCATGTTAATTATGAAGTCAGTGTTAATTATTTTGGCTTACAACATATTCATTTCCCAAATCCAACATCTGGGTGCACTATATGGACTAGCCTAGCAAAAATTGCTGCCCTTGGTTACACAAAGTGATAGTGGTGGGATCAATGGGATGAGTTATTCTATTTTTGGTTTAGCAAATGGCTCCTGCACAAGTTCCTGCTCTCCTGGGCCCCAAGCAGCTGGGGATGGACAGACCAATATGTCGGCTGAGTGGCGAGGCCGAATCTCTTTGTACCCTCTGAGGAAGGAAGGGCCAGTGTGGAGAGAAGGGCATCGGTGGCTACCACCAGGAAGGATTTCTTCTCCCAAAAGTCCTGCTGTAAATGCTATAGATCCAAGGATATATTATATTTGACCTCATCTTCTGCTAATCTGGCCTCTAGGATTTCCTGAAAATTTTTCCTCTTTTAAATGAGTG